AGTTTAGCAACACAGACGTGGGATGCTAGTAAGACAACGGTGTGTGTTGGACAATAGATTTTTCCTGACTCTATGTGGCTTTTAACAAACGGCCAACGAAGAACAAGCCACAGAGAGAGACATCATCTCGGTTAAAAATCGTTAAAACGAAAATGCCCCCATTGTAGTGTCCCAAGACCACCTGGCCAGTATAAGAAGTCAGTAAGTGAAGCTAATTGCATGTATTCTGAAGACAAAAAGGCAAATGGGCCTGAGTATTGCTCGAAGGCCAGCTCACGTGTACAAGGGCCAAACAGATCTTAAATCGTCCGCCATACGTCAGGTAGTCACATAAACAGTATTGCAACATCCACCTTCTTCTAAGTGACGTCCTCAACCCTTCACTTGTTACACATCTGCACTAGCCAGCGCAACCCATTCGGGGCCGCGTTAAACAATAAGGCTAGAAGAATGAACTTGGTCATCTTAGCAGCTTCAACTGGTCTAGAATAACATTCGGCCTGGAAGCAACAAGAAGTGGAGGGGACTTTTGTTAACTCTCAACTGCTTCCAGCCCTAGGCACTGGAATACTTGTTAGAAAACGAAACACGTAGCAATAAGAATGGGATCGAACGCAGTCGATTAATGAGGGGACTTTAGTCAAATGAACCCGTCATTCTCAGCTATTCTGCCCTAGCCTAAAGTTCGCGCACTTATTCATACCGTTAAAGTTTTGCACAAATGATGCAGATTGGAGCAGGCATCGTAACAAAATTGGGTTTCCTTACCGATGATACTAGTGTAGCGCCCAGTGGCTTTCAGCAGGAGATGATGTAGCGTCTTAAGACCTCCTTCTAAGTAGGAAGAAGCATTGAAGTAGAACGAGTATATGTGTTCCAAGGGAAGAAAAGACACTAAGCCTATGGTTGGTCCGAAAGCAAGCCTATACGTACAAGAACCAGACGAATACCAAAGTAATCATGAGACACCAGGTGATCGCATAAACAAAATATTAAAGAAAACTTGGAAATTCTAAATGCCTATGCTACGAAAGAGAGGATGGGAGCGAGGTTGTGGCCTGGTCGAAGACCAGCCCTCGCACAGCCTCTCACACAGACAGTCACATTAACAATATATTGCTTTTTTGAAGGCAATGTAGAGAAGCTAAAGGTCAATGAAGCCACCGTAGATCTTTTAAACCATATCTGGAACTAACCAAGCGTTACACTGTCCCTCTATTTTTTGGATACATTTCTCCGCCATTCTCCTTTGTTTACGTGGAGACTCAGTCTTCGGGACATAAATTCATGCCAGTTAATCACTGGGATTTGTCCCGAGATGGCAATAACTCGCTTATTTAGTCTGTCTGTGTGAGTAATGGCCACGTTGTTGTCTGTCATTTCCCTACTAGGCTAGATCACTGGACAGTCGAATCTACACCTCAGTCCTTTCAGTGCGCGTAAAGGATTTAATCAAGACGCCCTTGAAATAATTATCAAACGAGAATTTCAAGGCACTACTGAAACTTCACCGTAGGTAGTAGAAGACACATCACTAGGATCTACCACCAATGTTTAAGTGTTGGATTTGACACTACGGTTCTCCTAACATACGGAGCAGTGGCTTATCTCGTTTTCCCTGTAACATAGCTGTTTTAAAACAGATTTCCATCTGTAACGTCCCGAGACTTCCCATAGGGTGAATGAGGACAGTAAGTATGGCTGCATAAATGTATTCCGAAGAAAACAGAGGAAATAGGCCTGAGCATAGCTCGGAGGCCAGTCCACCAGTACAGAAGCCAGAAAAACCCTAAAGTGACCACCGAACGTCAGGTGGTCGCATAAACAAAGCATTACACCGCCGTCTAGCCGTGGAACCAATTAATGGTCAACAGATATATGTGGCCCCAAATCGGGATGTCAGATCGAACTCAACTACAGATCCAGTTGAAACTGCCGAAAAGACCAAGTACGGTTCCTCGACTGGCGCAGTTGGCACGTGGGTGCTTTCATTTAGTACCGAATATGGTGTGATGGCTGGAGCAGGGATATCAAGGGGAGCGCCGTGAACGTCGTTCAAAAGAAGAGCGGGGCAGTGCAATACCTTGGTTGTGTGACTATCTGACGTTTGTCTGTCACTTTAGGATTTTTCTGGCCATTTTACATGTGGGCCGGCCTTCGGGCCATTCTCAGGACTACTCGCTTCGTTCTCTTCGAAATACATGTATCCAGCCTCACTTACTGCCTTCTCCCACCTTGTGGGAAGTCTCGAGATGCCACGGAAACTATATCAGATGTTGCAAAAATCACTGCGATTTAAAAGCAAAAGTTTTCTTTGAGATATACTCATGACCGGCAAACCTGTGCAATAATTAGCAAAATTAAGAAGCATTAATGGCAAAAGACTCCTTTGCAAACATTCTCTCGCATAGAAGGCCTTGCAACATCTGTAAAAATTTGTTTCAGAGTAAAAATTATCATTATTTAACAATCTTCTTAAACTATTTTGTTATTTCTTAATATTTATTGCATCGTTAATAAATACGTAAGCACATTTTCTCTTAATGTTTCTAGCATCTTTCGTATCTGCTATCATCTTTGAAGCACATTACATCTTAATCACAAAATTGACTCTTTGAGTTATTTAACTTTATGGCGCAGCTTTCGAGCATTTTTTGAGTTTCTTTTGCATCTGTATTCGATTTCGCATTACCAACAGCCCTTCTACAAGTGTGAAGCACCAACGGTGGTTACTTTCGAGCTATTTACGAAAATGCGATGGTGGACCGCCGGTCTGATATGCGAACATGGCAAAACAAACGTATTCATCCTTTGGTTAATTTTGGTCTCTTTTCAGTCTATAATTTGCAAAGAGAGGCACCCAAACCAGTTCCGATAGTCTGTTTTGAACATCTTAGTCACGTACCACATCAATATGGCGCTGCTTATCATGGTCCTCTGAGCCGGCAGGGGACTGAGGAACTTCTAAATGGACAGCCTTCTGGGGCCTATCTTATTCGAGATAGTCAACGGGCGGACGGTGCTTTCACTTTGGCCATTAGGTGAGATGGTTGAATAAACTACTTATTCTGTTAGGTTTGATGACTCAACGAAAAATTATAAATTATTTTACGATTCGGCATCACAATTGCATTATGTTGGTGAAAAGAAATTCGAATCTGTTGATCAGTTGGTAGCCGACGGATTAATTTATCTGTACATCGAAACTCGTGGGGCTGACATATTACAGAAACTGTCTGAAGCCAGCAACTATGAGCACTCACCTTACTACAAGGTAGGTTCATTTGAGACTCCTCACTAGGCTTGTTTACACCTACTGACTTGCATTTTTCTTCATAAATACCTCGGCTTGCTCTTCTGGTCGATGTTGATTGTGCGAAGTGCGCCCTGTGTCCCTTCCTCTTATTGAATTCATACATACATCCGTCGTTTTCAGTGGCACCCTTTTCGCTTGACTAGTACTTTGCCACCACCTGTGATTTGTCCCCATTGAATTGTCCAGGGGCACACCATAGTTAACCGCTCGTACTGCTCACATTACTAGTTCCGGCACGTATTAATTATTCGACACCACCTTTTCCCTGCGCTGTTAATCGCTTCGGTTTGCATGAAGTTTACACATTTGCCTACTCTAGATTCGATGGTCGGTTTTTGTGTGTTTTGCAGGCTACTCCTTTTAACTCAGTTACCCACTGTGCATCTGATATGGATGGAAATTTTTACCACAGAACCTAGAGGAGACTCAAATCTGGCCTCAATTCGACAACTCTATGTTGAGACGTAGTGCTTAGAATACCTAACTCGCCCAATTGATTGTTGTGATGCTTCAGACACGCTACCATACAGTGAATGCCGTTCCCCCACCTACCAGACCCTCGGTCGCCTCCATCAGCAGCGCTAATTACAAACGGCAGTCCTCACTCGAACTGCTTGATGGGTCTAAAAAAGCTTCTCCCATCCGCCTCACTCAATCAATTCGGAGCGCTGCTGCCGATGAAATCGCCAATGGCATCATCAACGATCCCACTAAGAAGCCTCCTGCTGCGGTGTCTGGATCCGTTGACAAACCTGTAAGTACAACTATTTCTAATGCTCAAGCTGCATTTTTAATTACCTTCGTGGGTAAAATTGCGACACATTTTTTAACCATTCATAATGGAAGACTTGGTTTGGCTTTTTTGTGGACACGTTTGACACTTCTTATTCTTCCTTAAAGTCCTCAACCTTGGACTGTTCGATGCGATGTTAAGATTTGATCTGGTGTCTTTTCTACTTCTGTCTAGTTTAAAGGGAACTGACCATGATTACCTATTTTCTCTAACGAAATGCTTAGAAGATTCAATTCGCATTTGTCACAAATAAGGCATCCTGATTTTGTATGATTGGAAGCTCTGTAACTTTGCTCACACTGACCGTCAATTTACCTTCTTCAATATTACTGGACGATTGTGATATAGCATGCCACTTTGGGAACTTGTTCACTCTTAAACGCCAAGTTACTTTTAATATTCTTGCAATATGCGTGTTTGTTTTAATCCTGTTTACATAATGTACTTTATTTGGATATCTGGGCTCTTGTTAGGAAATCTGAACGACTTCTCTTTTTACTATCCCCGTTTCAGTCAAAAAATCAACCCAAGTCACCAATTCGGGCACAACTGGGCCCGCTGGTCCTGATAAATCAGAAAACAGGATTCTTTCGTTTTATTTGGGAATTGGTAAATGCCTACTACTAACATCCAAATAAGCTAATCTCTACGATTAAAACATCACTTGGATTTATTGCTAACATCCTGTTTTTTTGTTGCAATGCATAGTGTCTAGCATCATTGAGTGCATGGAAGTGCGTAAATAACAGATAAACAATGACTGACGTAAGCCTAATTTCCTCTGAAAAAAATGGTTCGCCTTATCGCCCTTAAAAGGGTGTGTCCTTATGCTTGTTTATCATATATGCAAAATCGTGTGCACTAATAGATCTATCCTCTGGTCGCGTTCTCTTTTTTGCAAGGCGTAACTTGCTATGTAGACTCACTTGATCCTTATTTGACTGATAACTTATCTCTCGCTGAAATGCTCTGTAGCAGTGTAAATGGCATCGCTGGAATTCTTACCCTTAATAACGTTTACATTTGTGATGCAGGTAATTCATTGGCACACCTAACACTGATTTCTCCTCCATTCTACTCCAGCATCTAACTTTGATTTGCGAATGAAGGTTTTTCGAACCGTTACTAGTCTCTTACTAGTTGCTCATGTCATTTCCAACCTTTCTTCATGCGTTTTCTTCTATGCAGGCCCGTAGTACCTCGTTACCCTTTTCGAAACCGCGAACTGAGCGCTCACTTGAGTCATCCACGTCACCGAGTGCCAAGCCTAACAGTTCCACTGACACCAGCAGCGTCGCTCATAATAACACAAGTAGCGGTAGCAGCAGTGGACACGCCAGTCTAAAGAGTCGTCAATCGGGGAAAGGGGAGGATGAAGTTGATGATGGAAGTGGCGGTGAGAACTATCGTCGAAAAATGATTGGTAGTGTCCAACATCACCGTACTCTCGCCTCCACCCTTCCGATGAATCTGGATGGCGCCAGTGCCCATACTCCTGGCCGGATCAGCAGTGAGGTAGCGGCTACCTCTCCTACAATCAACCCATCCTCCACCCTTGTGCACGTTGACGTAGAGAAAGCTCATAATTTCCGCGTGCACACTTTTCGGGGGCCACATTGGTGCGATTTCTGCACCCACTTCATCTGGGGTCTTGTCTCACAGGGCGTAAAATGTACCGATTGCGGTTTTCAGGTGTGTTTAGCTAGATTTTGTATCTTGTCAATGATTCAGGCTTCGTAGTTTGTTCATTTTAATCATCCTTTAATTGTCATCTGTGTACTTACCTTGAGAGATGTGTGAATCTCCGGTTAGCGGTGCTGGAAACCCTTTAATCTTTAGAGCTTTTTCTCCTGTGAATCGTTGGTGAGCCATAGTGGCTCTAAGGCCCCTACAGGTATTGAATCCATCGCGCTGCAGTAAGCTTCACCATTAATGATTAGCCGCCTGGGCTGCAGATGTGGGCGATAACAGTGGATACGCCATCGTGTGTGGATATTGTGTAGCTGTGGAAGTGACAAATTGCCCCTTCATGTGCACGTCGTGCCAATAGGTGAAGCCGAGACGGAAACTTTTGTCTCATCGCCGTCGTTGTCTGTTGCCGCTGCCACCAGTGTCTGTTCATGTGGCTTTGTGGGCGCGTGCCTCTCCTGAGTCCCGCATTATATGTGAGCATTAATCACTTCTATGCATACACGGCATCCCCACATCTTGTCGTCCTAGCCGTCCTTCAAGTGCTACTACCCCTTATTCCCTCGTGTGGATGAATGAGCAATTTTTGCCCTCTTTGTGCCGTTTGATGAACAGACCGTCTCAAAGCACTTTCATAGGATGGTGTTTTTTGTCTTGCTATCCAGCAAGATAGGAAGGACTATTTCAATCCACAAGCATCTATAGCCTTTTAAAGTTACAAAAGCCCTTACGGGCTGCGGTCACAAACCAGATCCTTTGTTGCACAGCAGACTAGGTGATGTTCACTACTAAAGTAAAAGAACATCCTTCCTACAATTTGCCCAATAACTGGCCTTGAGGGATTGTATTCTGGGTTGGGTGTACTAGGTGCTTCGGCTAAGTATTGAAAGCAGTGGGTTTCTTTTGCATTGACGATTTTGATGCTCTTATTTTCCACTCTTTACGTGTCTGCTACCTTCTGTCAGCAGAAAGACTGGCAACCACCCGCTGAGACTATAAAAAATTCCGATGTAGACTGAGCGAGAGGACGCGATGGGCTTTTGTGACCTGTGGCATCGTCAGTGCAACTTTACAACGGCATTAACTGGTAAATGAAATTGTGCAATGCACCTGAAACTCGCCATCCCGGAATATAGACTATTAGGCGAAGAAAGTTTTTTTTTTGAAATTAGGTTATGTACGTGGAAATGGCGCGTCGGTTTTTGGTGTTCCTAATTTACCAACTACCCTAAAATATGCTCAGTACGAAAAAAAGCTACAGGACGAATGCTTACTTTCTGTGTGACCTATACGCACCTCATGTTGGTGTGCGAGGCAACTTTTTCTGACTACTCGACCGCGGCTTGTTAATTACGGCGTCCGGGATGGCAGGCAAACTCTCAGGTCATTCAGACACGTATATCAATGTTTATTTTCGTGTTTTGATGTGACTAGACCTTGGTTACACGGCGAGACATAAATTGCGTTCTCGCCGCTCATGGACTTTTATTGGTATTCGTCATCCGTCCATCTGCTTCTTCTGCCCACCTGCCCGCCCATCCCTCTTACTATGTCCACTAAACGGATGAATGGATTCATATGGTTGGACGGGTTGGGCGATTGGAGCAGTTCTGATATTTATCCTTCGAAGGGGTCTTTAAATCATCGGTTGCGTGTCGAAGCCTCATTACTCCAAGATACGTTCGTGGAACGCTTGAGCCGATTGCGGGAGTCACGGTCTGATGGTTATTCTGGAGTTGTAGTGGATGGCATGGTCTTGGCTATAGGTGTTGGGTTGACTGGTTACTTTCTGTAGAGGTCAGATTTTGTTGAGCTGTTCCTAGAGGGTAGCTTAAATGAACTTGTGCCTTACGCCGTAAGATTTTGTAGCTGCTGTTGTATTTTGTTCTTCTTGCTCTGAAATTTATGTTCTCTTTTTTAAATCGTTCTTTAGAAATCATAGATCGGTTTCCTACTCCATAATCCAATTTTTCAAGGAATTGACGTCCCACCTAACATAATGGCTTCTCCAAGCAAATACGAATTTGCATTTCCAGTTTCTCTTTGACGTATTTTAACACGGTTTCTGTTCACGTAAAAAAATCCGAAACACTTTGAGACCCGATTTGGTCTCGAGTTTTCGTTGAATGCTCCTCTTGAGTAGGATGTATCACCTGCCTGTCGATTCATTTAGGTTCAAACCAAACCTAGACAAAGTAGAACGATTGATGTGCAGTTCTATAAATGATGCTTTGACCTTCCTGTGTTCTGATTCAGGCTCACAAACGCTGCTCCATAAGCGTTCCCAATGACTGTCTTCCAGATATGAAGCGTCTTAAACGCGTCTTCGGTGTGGACCTAACTAGCTTGGTTCGTGCCGAAAACAGGTGAGTGCATTGGCGTTCTACAATCCTCATTTGCCATCATTTTTTGCCTCGACTATATCTTTACAGCCCTTTAACCTAATCATGCCTATTCTCTGCTTCTTATATGCCTTTTAACTACTGTTACCACAGTAGCACTGCATGTGATTTATTTTGATTTAGTTAAATTACCTTCTCAAGGTCACACCATGAAGCACGTTAAATCATCAACATCATCTCCTGATCGGGTTCATAGTGGCACTGTTTGTCTAGGCAGTATTTCCTTGCTGGCATATTTTCGTCGGAATGACAGCTGCTAATCATATGCCTCCTTACATTCGACACCATTCCTCACTATGATGAAATTCGCTTCTCCAAAACTTGCTTTTATGCATTGTGATAGTATGTTTCCACTATCTTAATCGCGTTTTCAGACCTTAAGTTCTACCGCGGTAGCGCGTCAAGTTAGATTACTAGTGAGAATGGATGACAATTTAGGGAATGGCAACTTTTTAGATTCGTTATTCCTTCCTATTTCACAAACTATTATTTTTAAGCGACGTAATTTTAAGTGTCACTTCTGATTTTGTTTTTCATTTAACTAAAATCGGACTCATTCAAATATAAAAAATTTATTTGCCTCGAATTGCTCTCATGGCCTTTCGTGAAGTTCTCGTTGGGCGCCTATAGTGTTACTTGTTATTTATTTGAATCCTACTACTTCAGGCGATTCCACATCGCGCTTACTGCCTTCGCGAATGAATGAGAATGTGAAGATAATACAATCAAATGACTGCCCTCCGGCCATTTCGGCGCAATTTCACATAAGAATCGCTCCATAAATGGACTAATTTGTGGCTAAATCAACAGAGAGATTATTTTCTTGCAGGTTCGAGTGAGCTGATAGGCCAAGCAAATACATTACCTTGGTATGGTATCTCAGGCCATCGTGAAAGGCGATCTGGTGAATTCACATATCTATACGCACTAAATCCCGTTATATCTGCGCACTGGGGACACGTCTGACTCACGGCTAAGTTGTTCACCATGCTTCGTGCCATTACGATGTAACTTCCAGCTTGCTTAAGACGCATGACGTATTTTTTTCGTCAGCAAACTACTTTACCAACTTTTACACTTAGAAACCATCCGTTAGAACGGAGGGGTTCTAAAAAAATGAACTTGGAAATACATATCTTTTGAGGTGAGCTAGCTCGATTTGGTCCCGGGATTTTCAAGCGGAAAAGTCCTGGTCTAATTTCTAGCTTTCACCTTCTCGCAAGGTGCTTAGCTTATACTCATCCAATACACCCCCTTTTGGAGAAATAATTTGCAAATACTATTACCCTTTCGTCCATTGTGTAGCATCCTCCGTGTCCAGTCGATACTGGTCACCTATTATTTGCTGCGAATCGCCACTAGACACGAGGCTACGCAGCAGTCAAGTTATCGAGACAAAAAAGTAGCTCTGCGTCCTTTTCTCTATGCGTTCGTATGTGTTCGCATGTGCCTTCCTCATTGGCTGCTTATGTAACCGGCCGGCTAAAGCACATGCCAGTCCTGACGTGCGTCGATTGGCCGTCAGCTGGTTGCTAACTCCGGAAGTCAATTAGGGCTGCTTCCCTCGTTAACTACCTCTCTCACTCTCTCCCTCTGCCTGCCTCCTTTAGCCCAAGTGTGTGCGTATAGGGATAGTTACTCGAATGGATGATGTGTAGTTGGTTTGATGTTACTCCCTGACTTTTCACTTTTCTGTGGTCATGAATACAGTTCTTTATTGTAGTGATTTTTTTGTCCTATTGAGTTAAGCATCTTAGCAAATGTGAATTAGCAGCGGTGCCATTCACCGCCATTCACAATGCCTCCTCTTGAGATCGCATCCAATGTGTGGAAACTGCGCCGAAGAGACGACCCACTACCACCTCCCTACGTGCTTTTTATACTTGCCTAACCAAATATGACATTGATTTACAACGCTTAAGGGGAGAAGAGATTAGTCATGGGGCGTTTTCGCGTCTGTGTTGTGGTCTGGTGATCAATGTCATCCAAGCTGCGTCGAAAGCTTTGATTAATGGGGCATTTAACGATGTGCATGAGCTTCCGCTTAGTTATTCCTTTTTGGAACACACCTTGGTATGTAAAATGAAGGAGCAGCTTATGATCTCACAGCTTTTAAAATTTGTTTTTGGTGGCAGCACAAAGGCAAGGTGTGAACAAGCTGCTTCAGAATGATTAAGAACGCATGAAAGGAGTTAAAAAAGGATTTTAAACGAATCCGGAAGTTGAGCATTGCATGACCAACTAGGTAGTTATTTTTACTGCGTTTTTGTTTTCAAGTTCTAACATCGACATTTTCCTTCACAAAACCTTTCGAAATTGATTTTTGGTTTCATATGCAACGATGTTTTTTAGGCCATCCAAAACGCATTAACCATACACTACATTTTTATGTGCCTATTCCGCTTTACTAGTCTCATTTAGTGTCCTGATAATTGTTCATCCTGCTATTGATAATTAAATGTTCCTTTCAAAATATTAAATCAGTCTGATGTGCTTATTTGCTTACACACTGTAGCGTGCGTGGTCTTTTTGACCGTTATTTTCTTGCATTCACGTACATTTGAAGATGGTCATGATAATACAGTAGCAACTCCCCATTGATACTTCTTCTACTCTGTGTGTCTGAAGCACTTGCGCATGCTTTCTATGCTTTGACACTTATTGTTTTCAATTACCAAAGGACTGTGCCTCAGGTACTGGTCAAGTGTATCGCCGAATTGGAGCGACGAGGCGGCCTCGTAACAGAGGGAGTCTACAGAGTTCCCGGGAATCAAGAAATTGTTGAGGATTTCCGCATAGCTTTGGACAAAGGTATGTATTCTCCACTATCAGCAAATCTCTTCTAGTTCTCTCGATTCCCGAAAAGCCCTTCCCATCCTTACTGTTGTTAGTCTGCGTAAAATCTTTGATATCTCCTAATTTCACATACAGAGTATCCCATAATGCATGACTTTCTGCATTGGAGAGCGGCCTAGTCTTCTCGTCATTCATTCACTAGTAAATTAGCTTATGAGTATATTCTTTGGATCGCTTAACATAGGCTTTTCTGATTTCATGAATAGTGAAGTAGTAAAAGTCATCATGATTTTTAACTTGCGGCAAGATCTGCCAAAGATTCTTTCCACTTCGTAGAAATAGACGTCAGTCCATGCGTAGTTTTAAAAGTCAATCCTCCATGGCTTTTGGGTTAACCGATTTCAATTGTGCACATACACCTAACACATTTTCTGGCTTTTAAATGTTACAACTTCATAAGCGGTCCCAAGGGTCAGTCCGTTGATTGTTCTAATCCCACCTCTTCTTGCACTTGTGCCTTCGCCTCTTTGTGCGTCTGTGGTAGTACGTGGGGCCAACGCGGTTCCCCTTTTTCC